AGAATTCCCCAGCCAGCCATACTGGCTGGGGAATTCTGGGAGTTAAAGTCCACTCATCTTAAAGTGGCCAAGTTTGGACAACACTGACCTAGAGTGTGCCAACCCTGCCAGATTGAACCGGCCAGGCAGATACAATGGGTTACAGATGGTCCCTCAAGTAACCAGGCCCTATGTCATGTAGGGCTTTATAGGTAGTGACTAGCACTTTGAATCGCACCCAGAAGCAAATTGGCAACTAGTGCAACTTGTGAAGCAGTGGTGTTACATGAGCATAGCAAGGCCTGCCTTTCATTGCCCATGCCATTGCACTCTAGACCACCTGAAGCTTCCAGGTAGTTTTCAAGGGCAGTCCTATGTAGAATATATTGCAGTAGTCCAATCTGGAGGTGACAAGGGCATGAGTTACTATCTGAATCTAGTAGTGGATCCTGTTGAAGAATACCCAGTGGGCAAAAAGGCAGGATAAAAATCATACAAGTCAACAGCTCCTTCCAGCTTATTTTTAATGATGAGCTTTATTTCTCACGTTGCATAAACTAAGCTTAATAAGAAATGCTCCTTAATCTTTTTCTTTGGGATAATGAAGAGGCGTAAATGGATTTCAGAGCCAACTTTGTAGATGGACTTAAAAGTAAATATTTAACTTAGATCTCTGCTCTTGGTGGAGACCTACACAAGATGGCCAAGTTCTCCATGAAAATGAATGGAAGTAGCAACGTTGTGAGTGAAAATCATAATCTGTCGTCTGTTGTGTGATCACTAACTTGACCAATCTGACATAACCAGCTTTGTTTCAAAAAGGACAACTCCAATTCTGAGAAGCAACTCACAAACAAAACCGACTTCTCCCTTTTCTTACTCTGCTTTCCTCCCTTTCTTACTAACTAGCCAAGACATAAATATTCTGAGAGGGATTAGTCAGCCTTCCTTGAGGAAATGAAATGAAAGTGTCCAGATGGCATGGAGTAAAAGGACTGCATGTGACTGACAGGCGTACCAGGTGCATTTGTATTTTGACTCCTCTTTATTTAAAATTGTCTTTTTTTTTTTTTATTAAAACCATAATTAAGCAACCTCTTTTGGAAAGGCTTGGAAGGACTTGGAGGGTTCATGGAGCCCTGGGGCTTCTGTTTTTACATTCCCGGCACAGATAATAATTTTTAGTTTCTTTCAATTAAAAAAAATGAATAGGATGTTACCATTTTGTGATCCTAAACCCCAGCCTCAAGTGTAACTTGTTATTTCAACAAAGTTTCTGGGTCCTACATAAATATAAACCTTAGATACATTCTTAGAAATGGCGGCTTACTGCAGCCCAGCCAGACTTGTCTTCTAGTAAATGCATGCTTAGTGATTAGCCACCATGTCCACCATGGTGTGAAATTATCCATAATGTTGTGAGTGATTGTTTTATTTTCATATCTTTTGTATCCTTCTCTTTTAGTGTTCTGTGTTCTGTCAGCTCTGAAGCTCTGTCAGCTTCACAGTTATCAAACAGTCCTGGAAACACACCATTATTCTTCCTTGAGAACATACTTTTTCCAGAGGACCTAAATCATTCCATTTTATTTTTAAATCATTATTTGAGACAGAAAACGTCTTTCTCTTTTCTTAAACTAAAACACACAAATCAATTACAGGTGCAAAAAGAAAGCAAAAACATTATAAAACTCTGACAGAGGTGGCTTACTATGGCATTGCATTCATACAGTCAAATAACTAACACATTTCAACATCAGACCATATAAAGTAAATGTGTTAACAGGTTTATTTGAGCCACATAATAATCAGGGGCAAATGACCTTTCTATTTCTGATAGAGGAATGGCTTTGGCACCAGTTCCTTTTTTACCCCTTCTAATCTCATATTTACTTAATCAGTCATATTTCATGTTTGAAAGAAATTTATGAGCAGATAGCATGGGATAATCCCACCTTGTTTCCCAAATTGTAAAATGCTGTTGTGCTAAGTATCTTTATCTTTATCTTTTTTTTTTTTTTTTGGTGCCTTTCAGTCAGTTTTTTTTTTTTTTATTCTTGGCGACTGCCTGGACAAGTCCCTGCAGTTTTCTTGGCAAGATTTCGAAAGTGGTTTGCCCTTGACTCCTTCTTCCTAGGGCTGAGAGAGGGGGACTGGCCCAAGGTCACCCAGCTGGCTTTCATGCCTAAGGCAGGACTGGAACTCACCGTCTCCTGCTTTCTAGCCCAGTGCCTTTAACCACTTTGTGATGAAATGCTTCTTCTAACTGCAAAATGCTTAGCAATTTTCTGTACTGCCCTATTTCATCCCAGCGCAATTGTGCACGTGCTTCCTCTATTACAGCACACTCTATGGTTTGCAATGGACTATTAATTTGTTCCATTCACTTCCCGTTTATTTCATTCATTCAACGAATGATTTAGAAAGACTAGGAAACTCTCCACAACGTACTGTATATTCCTGGCACATGGACAGTTCATTGTATAACAGAAACTGAGGCACCTACAAATGTCAAGAGAGGTAAAAGAAAAGTATGTAGGCTCCCTCAGGTCATTTTGGAAGCAATCTTAGAACTTTAAGAGTAAAGTATCTCAGCGTACAAATTATTTAAGAACCACCACTGCTGGTCAGTTGGTCCCAGGCTTCCCACAAAAAATTACTCCTGCAGTCTTCCAGAGTTCAGAAACAGACAAGTTAAGCGGAACAGAAGAACGTCAGCCATTGCCTTTTCAAGAACAGCTGCCTGAGAACCTCTTCTAAGCCCCTGGACTTTGAGAAGGTGGAAAGAGGTAAGGTTGTGCTTCCTAATATCTTTCAGTATGTATTTATTCAGGGGCATCCACGGGGTGTGAGTGTGCCCAAAAAATCAAGATGGAAGCCATAACTGCAATCGAAGCCTGCCCCGTTTTACATGCTTTGCACACATGACATATCAAAATGTGGCAGAGCTTCAACTGGATTTTTGCATCCAGCATCTTTTTTGACTCCTCTTGGACATCCCTGGATTTATGTATTTACTAGGCTTAAATGCTGCTCCAATCCAACACTGACCCTGGGTGGTTTAGAGACCTGAGTACACTAATGATTAAAAATGTAACAATGTGGTTAATGTACAAATACTAAGGAACGTTCCAATTACATACAGCGTTCCTCTGCAGGAGAGCCAGTTGCAACACATCAGACCCCAAAACCTTGCTGAAAAAGCAAGGTCTTAATCATTTGATGAAAACCCAGCAGAGTTGGGATCAGCCCAATGTGTGGGGGAATGCTGTTTCAGAGAAGGGGGCCAGCCTCTCACCCTAAAATGGTACAGCTGCAAAATGTGATGTTTGCTTGCTGTGCAGCCAGCAAGGGTCAACTCTGTAGTTCATTTTGCTGTTCCTCTGGAAATTTATTCATTCCAATAAATAGCAGTAAAGAGCTGCTGAAATTGTTCTTGGGTCTTGAGGTCTCACCAGAATGTTCTAAGCCCTACCTAATTTTCTTTCTTTCTTTTTTTCAAGTCAACAGCTGAATTCACATAACATACTAAGCCATAAACCATGGTTTGCAAACCTCAGGAATATGCTAAGCAAATGCCAGAGTAGTGCTCTGCAGAATCCAAGGGCTTCCAGGACAGAGATACCGGCATTTTTTTAAAGCTCTCACTTGGCTTGTGCTTGTTCAAAATATCCTAAAGGTGTTTACTTGGAAGGTAGTATTTGCTCTCATGTAAGACTGCGAGAGGAGTACAGATGATTTTCCCTCCCTTCTGCTTCCCAAGGAAGAAAACGTGGATTCTGTTCCATGGACCTGAAGGGTCAGGAGGAGGAATTACAACTTGAGTCCTTCTCAAAAGTTATTGGAGGAAGAATGTCTGTACCAGGATGGCAACCGTGGCAGGTGTCTGGTTTTTTTTTTTTTTTGGAAGGGAGGGAGGAAGGAAGGAAGGAAGGAAGGAAGG